TGAATTACAAGAAGAAAGGCCCCTCTTTAGGACCTAAATGAATGAATATTGAGTTTTGGGATCTCAGTTTTCATCGTAAAACAGATGAAGGACCAGATTTGTAATTTTACCATTGAAGAAATTGCAAAGAGAGGGTAGAAACCCGACACGGATGTGGTGTCGACACATAATCGGGGTGTCAGCACCATGTGTTAAGGATCCAGAACTAGAGTTTCTGTTTCTGTTTCTGTTTCCTGTTCTGTGTCGATCCGTAATTTTGGGTGTTAGCACCATGCTTCAACGTCCAAAATTCAAGTTTCCTATTCTGTTCTAAGTCCTACTAAATACCCATTCAAAAATCAATATTAAGACATTTGGGAGAAGACTAAGAGAGACGGCTAAGAGGAATTCAATAATAAAGGAAGATCCTATTCTGTTCTAAGTCCTACTAAATACTCATTCAAAAATCAATTTTAAGACTTTGGGAGAAGACTAAGAGAGATGATTAAGAGGAATTCAATAACAAAGAAAGATCCTATTCTGTTCTAAGTCCTACTAAATACCCATTCAAAAATCAATTTTAGGACTTTTGGGAGAAGACTAAGAGAGACGACACAGAGGAATTCAATAACAAAGGAAGATCAACAGTTGAGATCTTAAATTGTCAAACTAGTTTTATTTGTTCTGAAATTTTATTTTATGATGTTGGATACTCACATATTCATCATGGAATTATTGATTTTTTTTTCTTTAATTATATGAACTAATTTAATCATCAAAGATCATGATGTAACTTAATTAATTTAATATAAAATTTTATGATTTTTATATTTTTAAGATTTATTATTTTATGTAGCGTATATAGTATTGTTTTTAATGTTTTTTAATGATTGGCTACCATTAAAACTGATTTGAAGAGTATAAACAATAACTTCTAGTAATATATATCATGAATTGAACGAAAATCAGAGATAAACCTACATGATTCATGCAGTATTAGTGATAAGTAGACTTAATTTTCTACATAAACTAGGAAATTTCACAGTATATAATGCATTTTTATCTATTTGAATTCACATAGAAATATAGTGAGTTAATAAGTGAAGATAGGTTTGGTATAACTTGAAAAAGTATATCAAATAGGATAGAAAATCTTGCTATCACATGAATAATAAATACTTTGGAAGTATATTAATTTAAATTTTATATTAGTTGATTGTGGTGAAATCGGATGCCTTAAAATTTTAACTCTTGGTGTTACTTAAAATCAATTTAGTTTTTCTTTAATTGTTTTGGTTAATTATTTTATTCAAATCATTTAATTTCAATTCTTTAAATAAAATTAAAATTAGTTATTTTTGGTACTCTATGAGGTAATACTTTATTCTCATCATTATATTACTTAAATTAACTAATACTTTTGTTAGAGTAAATTTAGCTCATCAATATCTAAATCCTATTTGTCATTTTCTACACTATAAAGAGATGGGTGTTCTTGAACATAAAATGTAGGAAAAAGTTTTCCAACTTGTACACGGAATGAACCCAAATTCTTTGTACAATCAATATTTAATTCTCATAGTTGATTAGTAAGAAGAGTACTCAATTTTATAATTT